GGATATGCGAGAGTACAACATCAGCAGCATAGGATTTCGTAATCTCTACTAATCCATGTTACTTCATGTAGAGATACTCAAGGAAGTGTTAGAGTAATGGTACATACAAATATACCTACAACTATCTAGAGTACATTATAAAAAATATTTATTGTATATAATCAATTAAACAAACAGAAAAATTCACTTTGCAATATACATATATATACATATATATATACATATATGTATATACATACATATACATATATATAAAACATTTATCAATAAATATTACTGGACTAAACAATATTAGGGTCTGAAAAGTACTCGTTCATTGACAAGCGTTATTTATATTTCTTCGTTCTCTCTTTGTTCTCTATTTAGTGGTAGCGATTTTTTTTTGCGCGGATAGCCTAGTTAAAAAGATCGGACTTATGTACATTTTTTTTGTCGCTCTCTCTCTTTCTCGCACGCGCGCATTATCGTGGACAATAATAAATAAAATTTCAATTGCGCTCCTCTCTCCCCCCTCCCCCGTGGTGTATGCTGTATGGCGGTATGTATACGATTCTTTTACTATATAAACAGAAAATTTAATTTAAATTCGCGACCGCCATCTCCAGCTCACTCTGCGACCGACATGCCCGTGTTTTTTGACTTAAACGCTATTTTTTTTATTTTACGAATTAAATTTTTAGGTGTTATGCTTATCGAGAAATACGGACTATATCTCTTATTAGTGACATACTTCGTACGTATACACACACTGTGTTGCATTTACGTTCAGCTTTAATTCTACTTTTTGCATACACTCACGGTACTTGATTTTAATTTATGTATATTCTGTTTAATTTAATGCGCATATATGTATATATGTACGAGTAAAGATAAAATATATATTTTGCATTTTTGCTTCTCCCAGTTAATACTATATGAATTTCACTTCTCGCGTTATATATATATTTATATATTTATATACTTTTTAATCTAAGCAATAGTTTGCTATTCGATAGATACAAAATTTCATTTTTTTTTCTTTAATTGTGTTCGCATTCACGGCGATCGCTCACGACGATTACTTTTACAGCATCACGACACATCCATCGTATTTTTTAACATTCTTTTTATTTAAACATTAATATTATTTTATTGCACACTATTTGACTTTCTTACACATTACACAACCGAGTCGGATATTTATAAAGAATCTTCGAGAGATTTATGACCGGTACTATATATATGTCTCAAATTTGAGCTGCAAACATATCATAATTTCGAAAGAAAAGGGTTTAAAAGAAATAGTAAAAAGAAGAATCGTAAGAAGGAGAATTATCTCATAATATATTCTATTTCTTCCTTTAAATAAAATTCCCAATTCCTTAAAATAATATCGAGCAAATGCATAAAATAATTTTTTTTCAGAACCCATAGAAAAACATTTTTTAATTGGTCACAGTATTGTAACACTTTGGTATTATGGCCAAAGGGTAAGAAATATTTTTTTGTGTCTCGCAAAAATTTGCATTTCTTTACTATACAAGTATTATTGAATATTATCCACATAGATCGTATGTGGATTAATGTACAATTTGGAGCTTACATGTGGATCAGATACCCGCAATAAAAAATACTCATTTCAATCGTTGCACGTCGACATATAAATCATTTATCGGTGCTATAAAACGCGCGTTATTTTCTACTGAAAATAAAAAATTAAAAGCGCAAATTTATATATACAATTAAAAAAAATCTCGCAAATGACTATATCAACATCTCTGTACAAAATCAAGTTGCGTAAAATCATAAACGCGAATAACAGAATACAAATGAAAAGGATGTTTCTCTTAATGAGACCGCGATTCGTTAGATTACGCGAGCGTATCAAGAAGGAAGAAAAAAAACCACGCGCGGCAGCGAGCGACCGCCGCGGATTTTCCGCTTCACACACTTCGTTGCTCCTCAAGGACAAAGGGTTTTACATAAATAAATCTCTCGAGAGAAGGAGAAAGGCTGATCAATCTCGAACGCGCGAGGCTAGACCACGAATTACGTATATTACGGTTATTATTATTTACGTCACTCCCTTCGTCGCTTTTCTTGCCATTGTTTTAATGTAAAAAATGGATAAAAGGAGCCGAGATTTTTATGCAGCGAGATTTTTTCATTAGAAGATTGACCACCTTCGTAGGCATTTTCGACCGCTGTTCGTAATATTAGCACGCAAGTTATCAATATTACGTTTATTACGTATATCATTAATTGTCGTGTTTGTGTGTATGTATGCATGTATGTGTGTATGTGTATGTGTGTATACAAGATATACACTAAATAATTATGTCGCGCGGATCTAAGTTTACAACACAGCACAGAATTCGCCGCGGCGGAATATATAATATCGGCTCGTCTTGGCTACAAACGTCATCAGACCTACCCGGGTCTTGGATCTCCCGATACGGCGTAATCGAATCATCAATTCATCGAACCAGATCGGACACGATCAAGTTGACGATCAAGTTGACGAGTGCTCTGATACCGCTTGCCACGCTTAACGCGCTTGCTTTCTTCATTAATACACAAACTGGCAAATTGCTTTGACTTGCTAATCCCAGTATATATTTCCCGCGTGCGTATAATATCATTTAGAATCGCGTAAAAAACTCAATACAAGTATATTACGGATTATATTATTATACGCAGAATTTTGAACCGATAATATAATTAACATCTTCCATATTTTCGAAACTATGCGAGGAAAATTTGTTTGACAAATTTTGTATGCATTTCGTTGCATAGAACAAGTATGGCAATGATGTTTCTTATTTATGACTCGCGAGTGTTGCTTAGGAAATATAAAGATCGTCTCTATTTTTTTTTTTTTATATGAAAATATAATTCTTTAAATATATACTATATATATGACAGTTCTCTCACTGATTCTGCATATAAAAGTATTAAAGTAAAATCACATAAAAAAATCAATACTTTACGAGATATTTCATGATTTATTGTAATATGTAATATAATATCATGTTACGTAAATATGTAAAAATCTCGTAAAGTATAAATAGAAGTTTCGCAAAAAATTATTTATAATTTATAAAAGGTGCATTATATATGTATAATATTACTAAAAAAGTGTGTTAATTCTTTCATGTACAATGTATAAAAAAAAAATTGCGTGTTTGGAAATCATATAATATATTGAAATATATATATTATATTTTGCACAATCTACGCAAAATTGCCTTTAACTTTTAGTTAAATTATATCGAAGCCAGTTAAGGTGCCAAGCGGTTTCATGCCGAAAGCATCCTCTCCTCTCTATTCCGAAAATACGCTATGTATTACAACACTTGGTAACTTAGCGTCATGTCGCGCGGAGCAAGAGTAAATTTTCGCGATAACTACTAAAGAAATGAATTGTCACATTCTATCGAGTTATTTGCCCTCACTATATGGTACTTACAGAGTAATAAAAAAGGAAGAATGGCAACGAATATGAGTGTATCTGTTTTTTGAAAGCAACTCGAAAAATAATTTATTCGGTAAAATGATTTATTCGAGATTACACCGCGTGCCCGACATTGCAAAAGACATTGTACATTCTATATACTACGTCCATTTATACATTTTAAAAATTAATTATCAAATATTGTGAAAATTATCATAAAATATTATAATATATATAGAATATTATAAGATTAAATGTATTTTCTGTGACAGCATTTTTCTATTTGTTTGATAAAAAATAAAATACATAAACTAAAACTATTTCTGAGCTCGCTGTGAGAGAAATATTAGAAAGTATCCCAATTAAATGTGACATTTCTAAAATCTCAAAAACAACGTCAAAAATATTCAAACATCTTTTTCTAGACGGACACGCTTTTCAGCTAAAAGAAAACTGCTTATATATACATTATATTCGTCACTTTGAGCAATATGCGTGATAGGAACAAATTTTTTTCCAACTATCGGTCAGTAGGTGCGTAAAACTATCTTTTACAATTTCGTGCAATCATATAGTAAATAACGATACACGGAAATGTACTCATCCCGTAATCATCCCGTTGAAATTCATTGGAAGCTTACTGATTTCATTAAACACGCGGACACGCAATTTAATGAGAGACAAAATAACGTAATCGATAATTACATATCATTAGCAATCTTTGTCAAGAACTAACCTTGAGCGATGACGCTGATGAAGAAACGCCAAGTGACTCTGCTCCGCCGAAGGGCGCTGTTTATTTTTTCAAATTCATCTCATCATTCAGCACTGTAATCCGTTTCATCCACAGAAGACATAGCCTTTTCCCCCACATACAACATGTCATAAAACATCGCCATATGATCCTTATACATTTATACATCAAATTCACTGGTTTTCAAATAGAATTAGTTGTTTTGCACACACTTGTATCACTGTTATCAGGACTTGGTATCACTCCCCCTTCGTGATTTTCCTCTTCCACACTGTGTGTTCGCTGTCCATCTGCCGTATACCGCTGTTTACTCGAACCCTTTCTCGAATTTGATCAAAACACATTCGAAGATCACACTTGGCACGAATCATAAATATCCTTGTTGGAGCCACCGCGGTACTAAAGAAAGATCTATCTAAACAATCCTCTAAAAAACACTATATATAAATCGCTTATCTATCGCTAAATACAGACGCGACGGACATCTTCGTACTCCTACTCTATTAATTGTCCTACGACTCTACTTGTGTTTACGATGTAAGAGAATAAATAATAAAATGCTCTCCCTAAAAGATTTCAACACGCTGCTTCATTTCTCTTTCTCTATCATCCTCTCGATCAGATTCGCGCGTCTCATTCTTTCGACAAATTTAACCCTTTATATCTATCACTCTCTGCATACTCTATTACGCGCTCTACTTGTAGTGCTACACTTTATTACTGATCACTCGCTCTCTCACGGTTTCACATTAACATACATCTTCATCCCTATATATATATATATATATATATATATATATATATATATATATATATTTATATATATATATATATATGTATATATGTATATATATAGGTTTTTTTAGTACAATTATTCGATAGAGGTTAACGCGGTTCTGATTAGCATGTGATCCAGTTTTGTTTTCCTTTTCCTCTTCTTGATTAAAAATCTTGATCCACAACATGCTTGCTTATTTTCGCAAATCTTCTGCTGACTCGTTTATTTCTTCGTCTTCGTTTCTTTCATTTTGCTTTTTCTCTTCTTCTTCGTCTATTCGTCATCGAGCGCGTTTTACGGGTCCTTCTATGACTTCCTCGCCTCTTATCTGCTCCGATTTTTTTTGGTACAAGCAACATGATTAACACGACAAAATAAGCGTCATTGCTTACAGGGATTATTTGGAGGTCATTGATGAGGATTCAGGTTTGGGTGGGAAGGAGGTAGTAGCTGGAAACAAGGTATAAACGACCCTGAGAGAGATGGAAAGGAAGTTCCACTCCTCGGAGCTCTTTCAACCCTGCGGCGACGTCTGTGGTGAGATTTCAGTGTCGCCATCGCCCGAGCCTGGCTCGCCTTTCGTCTTGTTCTCCTTCTTCCACTTCATTCGTCTGTTTTGAAACCAGATCTTTATCTGTCGTTCCGTCAGACATAGCGCGTGTGCGATCTCGATACGTCGCCGTCTAGTGAGATATCGGTTGAAATGAAATTCCTTTTCCAATTCTAACGTTTGGTATCGTGTATATGTTTGCCGGCCTCTCTTCCTCTCTGGAACAAAACAAATTAAGACGACCGATTAATATAAATTGTTACACATCCTCCAGCATTATTACAGACATAACATTAACACGTAGAGATATATTTCGAATACATGGTTACTGATAAATGTAATGAAATACTAAAATATATCTTTCGACGAAGGTGACACATTGGTGCCTCGTATAGGTGAAGCTACTTTTCCATCCGATCATTAAGCTACAGACGACACATTGACCAGCATATTTAATAAATATCGCAATCTGTGCATCGGAGTCTAAAGGAGTTTTTGTGAAACCTTCAACAAAAATATCTCCGCAACTTAAAAAGAAATCTCGGGATCGTAAGTGCAGTTCCGCATATGATAGATACCTTAACGATATCCGCGATATGATCTGCGGTCGGCGCGGTACACGAATTCCGAACAAGAATATTAATTATGGTTGCCAAGGGAGCGAGAAAGAGGCGACAAAGACGGAGGGAGGTAGTAAAGAGACAGAGTGCGAGTCTGAGTCTGTATGTGTGAGAAGTCTCACAACTTTACAAGGGTATAAACCGCAAAGGGTTAGCCTGGCCGGTATACGAGTGCGAGAGAGAGCAAAACAAGAATGTTTCAGAATGGAGAAGGGAAAAAGGAAGAGAGGCGGCATAAGGATGAGAACTTGAAAGTAAGGAGGGGAGAGGTGAAGAAGAAGAAGAAGAAGAAGAAGAAGAAGAAGAAGAAGAAAACTCTCCTTGGCGAGCATTCGAGGCAAACGCCGCCCGTCGCGCTGTCGGCCGATGAAGATGAATGGCGGTTCTGCTACGGAGAGAGATGGAGAGATCGCGTAGGTTCCTGAAACGTTCGACTAGACGAAGAAGGAAGGATAGGGAGGAAGAGAAAAAAGGGCGCGTTAGAAAAAGAGAAAGCAAGAAGGGAGGAAGAAAGAGAAAGACGGAGGATAGAGAGAAAGTTGGGGAGAGAACATGCCCTCTTATTCTCTCCCTAGGGCTACGCTCTCAAATTAACAACATACCAATCTCTAGCGTTCTCTTATAAGCTTTAACGATTTAGGCAACTTCCTTGGCTCTGCTGTTTTAAGAAAGTAGTCATTTACTATTTCGCCAGAAAAATATAATAAATATTATTTAAAAAAGTATGTATAGGCTGTTTGTATCGTGTGATTTTTTCTATTATATAAATGTGGACAATGATAAGTGTCGCGTTCTCACATTTTTTTATAGAATCGTGTATACTACAAGAGTAAAATATTATCACTGTTGACTGTCAAGCGTATGCTGTCGACTGATCTATGAAAGCTGCATCGTATTAATATTCATTCGTCACGCCGTTAATGAAGATCATGTTCTAGATCTGAAGCTAAATCATCAAAGCGTCCGAGAAATACACGCAACATGTTCAAGTGACAACTAATATACGTCAAAAAAATTCCAATCTATTTATGTAGATTTATTTATAATATTTTTATTGTACGGTATAAATAAATAAATCGTATTTAATAACTAAAATTTTTTTCAAGAAAGCGATTAAAAACAGAAACTATATTCGAACTATATCGAAATGTTTTTAAATGTTATATTCTTGAAAATGTTCTATATATTTTTTATTAAATTTATATCATTCTAATTAAGTAAAATCAAACTTTTGAAACTGTAGACAATAATATATAACTGATCACGTAGTATTTTTAAATTGTTGACAAAAAATTGGCAAAACACAATAAGTAGTTTTATTTAAAATTAATTTAACACACACACACACACACACACGATCATTTTAAATAAAGATAATCCTGAGCCGACGCGGCGTAATAATCAGGTTTGTTTCGAAAGGTCACTTCGCCCATAAATCCTCTCATGCCACTAGATGTTGCAGAGTAAAGAAATGAATTATTAAACGTTGCATCGAGACGAGTCTGTATTATTTATGAACCGAAACCTATAAAAAAGCTTCCAAGCCGATCGATTTGAAAAACTCAAATCTCGATTAGGCGTATCCGACCTATGAGAATTAGGTGGCGATATTGCGAGTGTGAGATTTCTCGAGGTGCTGAGGTATGCGGGATTAATTAAAGAGACAGCAATACTTTATGTGTGGGTGCACATATATAATTGTATATATACATGCATGATTAAGCACACTTATAGAAAGGATCAATGCATTTTTGGAAAACTGGGAGATTCGATTTTTAATAGAGATCCCTTTATCTTCAAATATCATCCTAAAATAGAATAGATAAGAATGATCCAGTTTTCTCCTCCTCGGAACAATATTGCTTCTCGCAGTAATGTAAATCGCTGCAATTCGATTTGAACGGGGGTATCTCCTATATAGGTATCGTGTGACGCAGACGATTGGTCTTGATAATAAGAAAGTCGTACCGATGACCTAAGTTTGCGCCAGCGTAACCAGCGCTGCCACGGCTTTCGCGGACGGAGGTGACTTTAAACGCGGGGCAATAAATTAACGGCGTTGGGTTACGCAAGGATCAAATGTCCCCTGGAGTATGCCCGGGAGATTTATGGGTCTGCCTTCACTGGCGCAGCATGAAGGAACGAAACAGAACAGAACGTACACAACCGTGCGGCTTATTATAGGCTAGTTGCTCCGCATCTCCAACTTCCCGCCCCTCATTCTCCCCGCTTGCCCGACTGGTCTTTCAGGCCCGCCGCAGGATATACGCAGGACTTTTCAGATTAACAGCTAGCCGGATGTTGTAACCCGCTAATAAGGTGCGGCCACCACTCGCTGCCCAATTAAGCTAAGCTTTACGTGGGCACCGTAAGAGAGACCAGACCTTGAAACGCTCTTCGATTAGATACCCCAGATGTACCCATTAATTTTATCATTCGCTCGCGGTACCAGCGAGCCTTGGATTATATTTACGCCGTTGACAGACATCCATATTAATTACGCCAAATCTTTCACAGATCTTGTCTAAATATTTTCTGGAAATAAATGCTCAGAGATGCACAACACAAATCCGGCATTTAATACCCCGTTCATTATAGTTGCAGTTTTTAAGTCTTTATACGCTACTAAAAAAAAACTCCACATTCTTTCTCTTTAGGTATTATAAAATAAAATGTAATTTTAAAAATAGAGAGAAAGAGAGAAAATATATTCCAAATAATTTTTATAAATTATTAAAATTATGTAGCGCAAGATAATAATAACAAGATGTTCAATTTTATCGCATCTACAATCTGCAATTATTTATTCACAATCAGTGTAATCTCCTAACGTCGAACGAATATCTCGATCGAATTGAGATTGAATTTTCGTAAAAGTCGGCGAAGAAGACAAACTTTCCTTTCTGCCCGTTATAACATTCATAGAAGGAATTTAGAAATTCTCAAGGAGAGAAACCAGAGTATCTGATAGGCGGTTTTCCTTCTTTCTTTGCTTTCTTTTTTTTTGTCTTCCGGACAGACGAACAGACAGTCGGACAAGAAGACGGAGTCTGAAAGAGCCCCGAGGTAGAAGGTCGAGATAATGAGCAGCGAGAATGGCTGGTCGCGACATATGCATCTTTACGGGGTATCACTTGGAACATTAAAATTTACTTTTTCTTGCACCTGCTTCTCCAGATAAGAACAGTATGGCCGTCCAGCAAAACTTTCTCGAGATCGAATCGTAAGAAGATGGAAATTTGTATCTTAGACAAAAAAGAGAAAACAAAATTATAATTAAATGAAACGAGCGAATCAAATCGATAAAACGGAGATAATTTTATGTGTTCCGGATGCTTGAATTTTAGCCAGACATCGAATAGAAAATTAAACCACGACCTCCATATCGTTCACAATTGCCTCCATGGCGGAGCTCCAAAAGCAAACGGTCCCAGGATTTCTGTGGATTCATTCATCATCATCATCCGTCCCTTCCACCTTCTCTTCTACCGCCTCTCTGTCTCGTACAAACACATGCATATACTTATACGCGGGTAAATGCACACGCACACATACACATATGTTTTCTTGTCTTCTACTTTTTTTAGCTCCTCCTTTTCTGCCCCCTTTGAACTCCATCGCTTTTCGAATATCTCACGAAGCCGCCATCATTATGGCCACCAATCTCGTGAACGGCTAGTTGGATTATAATAAAATGCACTTCATATTCAGATTGTCTTTTTTTGCCTGACGCTCTTTATCTGGATCTACTAATTCGTTTCTCAAATGACTACAAGCTTTATGTATACTGATTAGACTTGCGTTAAGTATTATTTATTTTTATCACGTTTTATGAAATATTTTCACATGATTTTAAATTTGTGTAAATGTATATTTATATAAAATATTTTTATACGTAATAAACTTGATATTTATTGATAGTATACCATTTTATTTGCTATAAATTCAATATTATAATGTTTCTTCTGTTATTAATAAAGAAGTGCACATATTAAGAAAAAAACCGAGATATTTCGCGATTAAAAAAGCTGTCTGACATTCTATCTGGCTATACTACTTAATTCATTTCTCAAATGAAATGACAAACTTTATATATACTAGATTAAACTTGCATTAAGTACTATTTGTTTTCATCACGTTTTATGAAATGTTCTCACATGATTTCGAATTTATATGTTGCATATTTATATAAAATATTTTTATATTTATAATTTTACGCAATCAATTTTATATTTATCGATAGTCGACACATCCTATTTGATATAAATTCAATATTAATTTTTTCCGTTATTAATAAAGTAATGCGAATTAATAAGAAAAGAGAAAACAAGAGATATTTCACGACATTAGAAAAGCTGTTCATTTAATTGGATTCTCTTACTATCTTTTGCCAATAACATATGTTCCGTGTCACGCCAATTTATTTGCAATATACATGTTCTAAACTTTGTCTCGGTATACGAGGGAACTGTTCAGTAACAGAAGCCGTACACGTACATAACTGTGTCACGACATGCTTATTTGCCGATTGAGAATACACGAAGAGAGGAAGGAAAGAGCGGGGATGTCATAAATCTTTTCGCACAGAGGATTGCAATTATCCCATGCATTAAAAGCATCGCCGCTATCGATGGTCAAATTCTTTCTCTTGGGTCAACACTTGGAATCGGAATGCTTAACAAAGTATCACGACCATTGCTTTATCGAAGATGGAAAAAATATAATATACATCGAAGAAAATTCCGAATCTTAAAAAAATTTTTATATAAGAAAACAAATATATAGGAAAGTAAAACTCTTCTCTCGACCGTACTGGCAAATATTATTTATTAAATCACATTGTGATTTAAGAGAAGAGTTTTACTTTTTTAAATTCTGTCTGGTGATTCTCAAATATCTACGTAAATATATAGGAAATTTTGAAAACACAAAATCTTGAGAAATTAATTATTAATTTTTATATAATTATTTTCCTATAAAAAAAATAATTAAACTGTGTTATGCTATGATTCTTTTGTAAAATAATTCTATAGCAAAATTTTGATATAAAAATAAAATATATAAAGTGAAGAAAATGTATAATGTGCAATAAATATTCACAACCGTGTTTCAAGATCTTTGGCACTAAGCAGGAATCTGGCGGTATGCACAGATTCACATTCGTCATTTCATTTTATAGTATAATTTACTATCTGTATCAATTTCTCAGCTTGTGTAACGCGTTTCATCTCAAAGAGATGCCAAACAATTTCGCAAAATAAATGTTCCAACGGCACTTGCGTCCAAAATAAATTATGCATAATTCATAAATGTCTAATTATAGCATGTTTGACTCATGTTGCATTTTATAATACAGAAAACATGTGTAAAATAATTAGTTATTATATAAAAGTATTTTTTATCGTCTTTCAATATTCTCTCTAGTACTCAACACTTTTAAAATATTAATTCTACGTTTGAACTTTAAGCTAACGAAACAACAAAACATAAATTTACAAATAATTTTAGAAACATAAAAAATCTTGAAAAATCAATATTATTAATTAACAATGAGACGAGAAAACAAGATACAGGGAGCGTTCTTAAACGTGCCGACATCTGTGAGCATATTCAGGGACTCGGATCGTTTTCTTCGTTAACTGGCAGTAAACTACGAGCATGGTGTCGTCATAACTGTACTGTTTATCGGCCAATCCTCAAGCAGATACTTGGGATCAACTTCTGAACTTAACCGAAAGATGGTACGAGCAATCATTGACAGAAGGAAATGTGTATTTGCGAATAAAAATTTGAATGCATTTTTTAAACAAATAAAAATAAAAAACATAATGTGAAAGCATTTTCAAAAAGATAAGGTCCACAATTAATTTTTAATGATTTTTCTTCTTAAAGTAACACAATTTTTCGCAATAACACAAATAATTGCTTAAATTAATTTAAACCGATTTTTCAACATACGATTCAAAAGTACGTGTAGAATAGAAAAAATCGTAATTTATAGACACAAGAAATAAAAATAAATCAGTTAAAATATCCATGCCAGGCATCTATACACGTACCTTTAATCACGTGTGATCACTTTTTGTTTTTGAAACATAACTCAGAAATGCAATCACACATAAAAATTACACATTAAAAACTTAATCACTCTTCAAAATATATAATTACACTTAATTGTGTAGAAAATTTAATTACAAATGTTTAATTTGTATTTATTCATATTCGACGATACGGAAAGAAACTGCTGCCACGAGGAACCACGAGCGACTGAACAGTAAGAAAAGCAAAAAATGAAGAGTAGGACACCTATATTTTTTTCTCAGGTGGTAATACTCTGGCAGGATTGAGCAATATAAAGACATCACTTGTCCAGTATTGGAAACCATCAATCAAAAAGAGAACGAGAAGATGAACATCAGTAAGGTTCCACAACTTGTTCACAACTATCTACGTTGGACATCTTTTACTCAAGAGGAGGTGTAACCGTATTGTCACTTCATTACTACCATTGAATGATCCTAAGTGTTGAGTACCATGACAAATCGCAAGAGATGTCAAACTATATCCTCAAAACATATTATGAATAATCTGTGTGTTTTTAAGTATCAATACTAATGTATCATTTAATTGTATATAAATCTCTATATATACATACAAATATATTGATGTGCGCGAAACGGAAGACATATAATAAATAAAATAATTTTGAAATAAAAAAACAACTTTGCTATTTAATAATGTGTAATTAATTTGTACGTGCAATTGCATTTAAATTTCAAACTCAAGAAAATGATTAAAATATATATGTATCAATACGGTCAAATATTTAAACTGACACCTATTTTTAAATTGATAAATTTATATTAATATAAAAGATTTTTATAAATAATTTTTATATAAGTTATAATTTTTCTGTTTTACACAAAATGAATGAATGAAATAAACTACGGATGAAAATAAATTATATCACGAATAAAAATGGATATACGTCGACTTTTGCGATCTCAAGCGGCAATGACAACGAATAGAAAAAAAAATAACGCTTATTGTGATCCGATGAACGAGCGAAAAACCAGCAGACAAGCAAAAAGGACACCGCAATAAATAACTCTTCTCGTGATACATCTAGAGATATTGTGCCAATTCTGAACCGGTTGCCGTACGAATTTGGTCTAGTTTTGTGTGGCATTGCATAAATTTAAAAGTCGACCACCCGCTACCTGAGAAGCCTTAGTTCTTTACAAGACTTCTTTGATCTTCTTCCTACGGTCAGGAATCGAATGAAACTTTTATTCTTTTGAAAGCAACAGTTTTATGTATTTCGTTTAATAGGAGCAGGTGGCGTGTGAAAATCTTTTTCTTTTTAATAAATTTCAATGTTCCTATTGAAAGAACTAAATGTGAATTACGTATAATTTTTAGAACTTTTTAATAAAGTTCTAACATTTTAATCAGATTCAGTGGAAATTGAATAAAGCAAGAAAATAAAATTCCGTTGTACGCATTTTGATAAAAATATGACACTTACCAAATTGACTCCTCATCCAAGGGTAGAGTGGGCTTGGTAAGTTCGAGCTTGCCGCACCCTGAGGCGTGCCTTGCTGTTGTTGACTGAGTGACGACGCAACGACACCTTGATGCTGTTGGGCTTGCTGCTGCTGCTGCGGATGCATTCCGCTTTGTCCCTGTTGCGACGTGGTTTGAGATTGTTGCTGTTGATACATCATATGTTGTTGTTGCGCTTGTAAATGCTGATGTTGCGATTGTTGCTGCTGTGGATGCTGCGACGGTTGCGTCTGCATATGCGGATGCTGCTGACTGTGCATTTGGTGATGCATCTGCGATTCGACGAGAGGAGGACTGTCCGGTCCGTCGAGAACGCTGCCCTGATGATCGACAGCAGCCGCCTGAAGTTTGCAACTGGCGTAGACGATGGGGGTGGACGGATGTCCGTTGGGAGTTGGCGTATGTCCCATGTGACCCATACCGGGATTCGGGGACGTCGACCTGTAACCAGCCATGCCGTCCATACTTCCGTGTTCCTGCTGATGCTGATAATAGGCCGCGTTCCGCATGTCGATCCGATTGTACGGGGGAAACCTCGGATAAGGCATGTCCTGCTGACCTCCCGTAGATCCATAATGGTGGGCGGATACTCCTTGACGTAACAAACTCGGGTCGCAGGGATCGCCGGCTTGCTGGGACTGCTGCTGAACCGACTGCGTTTGCTGAGGTACCTGTACGGCCGCACCATAGTGCTGCTGATGCTGATGCGGGTGTTCCACCCCGCCATTTCGCAGGTCCGGGATATACGAATTCGCGAAGTACGAACTCATGCTACTGTCCCACCTGTCTCACCTGCTAATGTCACTTTTCTACGTTGCTGACGGGCTTTCCTTTGGTTATCCTCGGTTGATTTATATGATTTTTCTTCTTTCTCTCTGTCTCTTTCTCTTCGTATATTTATTTTGTTTTGTACTCTTGCGTGCGGACACACTGACACACGTCTTTACATAGATACAGATTTATCACTACAAAATTGCATTTCTCTCCGCGAATCTTTTACTTTTTTTCTCACTCAATTCTCACGCACTCTCTTGGACAGCACAAGCACACGTATGTATATATATATATATATATATATATATATATATATATATTTATATCAAATTATCATTATCGTGGATCAAATGTGTACATCATTTGACTTTTTATCACACTGAGCTCACTACCGATAAAATTATAAACTGGAGCACTACAGAACCTTTAATTAGCGAAGAGAGGGGAGAGTATACCGCGTATACGAGATGGTGGCGGAAGATGTAATCAAAGTCCTTCTTCTACCCTGGTGTGACACCTTCGTTCAAAGCGCCAAGCCACTCCAGACCCGTTTCGTTCCTCTTTCCACCCTACAATCGAAGTTACGCCGCACCTGTAACACAAAGAGAAAACCCACGTGTAACATTACTACAATACTATACGTTTCATTAAACCTACGCTTTGAATATGTATGACATAAATATTTCGCACAATATAAAGCGTTTTACTTAAAAATTAATTATATCAAAATTATTAAATTTCTACTACTACTAACAATATGAAAAATATAGATAAAATATTAAATAATAAGATAGTATTAACAGAGTGTTGCAATAATCATAAATAAATTGCACAACATATCATTAGCGATAATTCCAAAGAACGTGTCTCCATTTTTAGTAAGATATATATCTTTATTATAATATTAGGAAATAGGCTATTATCGTTAGAAAAATCAGACAAAAATTATAATAACGATGACGTTACGACGATATATCTTGGCGATTCCACATCTAAACATATAGCGTCACGGACGCAACCAAAAGCTCACTTTGCATGATCTTTGTCAAGCGAACTGAATGAACTGAAAGCAGAGTTTAGCTCTCTGAATGACAGAAGGCGAGTTACACATGTGCTCGTCACGGTGACGGCCATCGCACAGACGCCAAACTTATTACAGTGTTCTCTGTGTGGGCGGGCTAAGCGATCGTTAAATTTGGAAAAATTTCCATCCATTAGGCAGCATGGCTACTTCCCACCAAAAATCTTCCCCTCGCATCAATCTTTTTTCGGAAGCTTTGTGAAGCTACCGCGATGTATGCGTCGTGTGAAATTAGTAGGACGAACGCATATTACTCATATTTACTTATATTTATACTCAATATGCTCAGTATTGACTAATTTGTAAGTATAACAAAAATATTTAATAAAGAAAGATTTATATGCAATTGCCAATCGATTCCAATTTTTCTATAAAATATCTTTTAAACACGAATGATTATAAAATGCGAATCAAATCTTTTCAAAATATATTTCTTGATATAAAAATAGCGTATTATTATCAGTAAATTGTTCCAGAATTTAAAAAATATTACATCCACATATCTCTTCATCTAATAAATTACGTGAAATATAACTACTAATCTTAAATGGAAAACGTGAAAAAAGTAATAAATATAAAAATATGATTGAATTGAATATAAAACTATACTCCTTGTTGGCAAAAAAATTGCAGTAAATTAATGAGATATCAAAATTAAGTTATTAATAAATATAGCAATTAATAATCTATAATTCTCTATTTCCCTAAACATGAACTTATATAAAAGTTAAAAATTATAACGTATAGCAATTGGTTTTTTATCGACTGAAGCAAGAAGCATCCCCTTCTAAAAGAACAAGTCGATCTATCGATTTCAGATCGAAACCTTCTCTACCGACTGTATTTGATGTATCAAAGATGTTTGCATTCAACTTATTCAAATAAAATAATAAATGTTTTCAACTTCTTAACTATTAATAATTAATCTTTCTAATTTTAATAGTTTCTAGATTTAAATTTTAGCGATATAAGTATACATATAAAAATAAAAAATTGCTGAAAATTTCAAAATTAAAAGAACTTCTCTCTCAAACTGCTTATTATTTGTATATACCTTATTACACATATATAAAAAACCAATATAATTAATATAAGCTTTAAGATAAATGCTTATCAAAACAAAGAGATCTATTAAAAACATATTTGCGTCTTTTAATTGGAAAAATTTCTTCCGTACCGAAAGGGTATACCTAAAGACATACACGTGGGTATACATGCGCGATATAGTGTTGCAAGTAGTATGACAGTGTGGGTGACGCTAGACACGGGGTTAGAAGCGAGCTCAAATGTGCAACGGGTCGCCGTAGCGGGTGCGAAGAGTGAAGGGTGCGAAAGAGGGGTGAGAGGTGCGGCCCTTGGGAGTTTGCTGTACACGGAGAACGGGTCGGACGCGGGACGATCGCGATTAACATTCCGGCCGCTAGCTTGCTGTTCGCGCGGCGCTTTCATTAATTCCAGCGTATTGATTCCACGGATTGATGAATGGCCGCCGATAGCGATTCCACGCGCTCGCTGCCCCCATCTCCCTCCACCCTCCTCCCCCACCCCATTCCCTTACATCCCTCGCGTATAAATTCAACCTCTCGCAGGATTTGAACTCAATTCCCGCTCCGTAAATTCCCCTTTATGTATTCTCTTCTGAGGTGCAAGTATCTGGATCCCATTGATGCGGGTGACGAACTTTTCGCACTTTTGCACCCTCCGCGAAATGCGTTTCTTCGATTCAATAGCGGCAAAAGGTGCGATTAACGTCAATGATTGATACCTCAAACTAAACTGGGAAAGTTCCAACAAAATATATTAATTGCTTTAAATTGGAAAAACCCACAGAAAGAAAGCAGATCGGTTGTTCTTCCTTTCGTGTACAATACAATATTAATTACTCTGAATTCAAAATTTTTATAACCAATAGGCATTTAGGCTTTGTTTGGTGGTGACATCGATCGGAAAGATCACAGACCAGCTAACTAATTTAAGGGTCTAAGAAGTGCATAATAATACCAACAGATGGCGATGGTGATAGCACAGAAGAAGAGGAAAAAACGGGGTGGAGCGTGTCTGACAGCTGGGTGGGTTCGGGTCCAAGGTGATTGAAAACAGGGTGGAGCGTCATGTGACGCCATGGTTGGATATGGAAGTGACGTCATATAGCTACGATGGCCTCTAGTTAGCAAAATGGCCTCTGGATAGAAGTTTCTTTGTCTCTCACAGTCCCTTATCTATTATATTTCAATCTGTCGAAAATGGTTGAGGCGCAGACTATATTTTACGTCAGGCGCTCTTATCCCGGAAGAAGCACATTATGTCTATTACGTCACAATTTCAGTTTTGAAAAAGAACAAAGAACTATCTCATTATATAAAAAAATGAGAATCCGTTTATATCTGACAATGAGAAGAGAATAGTAAAGATATTAGTATTTTCATAATTATAAATAAATATCGATCAAATATACATAAGGAATAATAGTAAAAGTTGACACTTATCGGTGATCGTTTTTTTTTAATATATAGAAAAGTATAGGGAAAATAACAAAAAGTGTGTCAAGAGATCTATGTCAGCAGTTGATGTAGATAAAACGGTCAGTTCTAATAAATGATGCCGTGTTGTAGGCAGTTGTATCCCTAAAGAGTCAGCCATAAATGGCACTTAGATTTGACGGTTATAGAACTCGTAGCTCGTGTCGGTCGTTCGCGCCTCGTAAAAGAGTCGTAAACTAAGCACGTGATAAACTGAACGCTCTTCTGTGATGCCACGTACAGCAGTAGCGTTATATTAAAAAGTTACGAGCTCCTGACCTTGCACTACGTAACACGTAGTGGGTTTATATCTCCAGCCCTTAACGCATTTGTTTTCAGATAGTTTAAAATGCAGCAAAAACTAAATAAAGATCAGTATATAAAATTAAAGTATATTATAAAATTAATGAGACGTACCTAATGTCAATTAATAGTATATAATTAACATGCAGTAGCCATTGTGTTACAAGTCATTAATATCGATCTATATGTTATATTTTGTTAATGCAGCTACTATATGTATATGTTTTACATTTTACGAATAAGATGTTAATGTGATAACCGAGAACCCACTTTCATAATATGTTCCCCATACTCACACATGCAATACACAAGGTGGGCGCGAAAAAGCGGATGCGCTAATAACTATCATTATATACAACATATAATTTCGAACAAGACAGCTTGTAAAGGCAAGAGGCGATTAATTGCAAGGCGATTTTAAATCTTTATTGATGCATATTCATGAGATATCACGAGATGTTGCAAGATAGTCTCTATTACGTAAAATAAACCATTCTATATAGAAAACAGGATGACAATATTTTTTCAACTCCATATTACACCATAATCGAATTTGTTATATGAATTCGATATTGCTGTCGTATGATTTATTCGCCTGGCGGAAGTACTCGGGCATTAAACCTGTCTGGATTGCTGTACCATTGTACAATGAATTTACATTTTAACGCGTTATTATACATATATCACGATTTTTAATGATGCTGAAAATTACGAAAATTAATTATAACAAGTATAAAAGGACGATTTAATTATTAGATTTTTAGTCAATATTTCATTTTTTCAGTATTATTTTAACATGCAATATTAATTTGCTGTTAATTATATGTGTCGAGTATATAAATAAAAAAAAACTTTTATTCTCTTAAAAAATATAATCTTATATTGAATTAAACTTAATAAATCAATAAATAATAAGTACGATATCTGTGTTATAAAAATTAAACACGTAAGAATAAAATAATGCGCTGTGTCAAACGTATTACATATAATAAAAAATATAGAAGAGAGAGAAGGGGTGTGTGGGGGAGAAATATATGCCAACAAACGACCGCCAGATTTAGCGAGGAACGCGGCGCGGCGGCAGGATCTCGAAGATACCGTTACGCGCATTAAAAGATGTCCAGTTGGCGGGAGGTCGTGGCGGCATTAAAGGGTGTTTGCGATTAAGGATTCCAGCGCACACACGAGCACAGACCCGCGCACGTACACACATATTCGCACGGTATCGGTATCTCGATTCTTGTAACGTCGCCTGCGAGGATGTGTCCGTATGCGTTTCCGCTTGTGTATGTATGTGCCTATGTATGTATAGAATGGTGCAACACACGTGTGTGCGAGCAGATCAGTCGACACGCATGTGCGATTAGCATAATCGAGTCGGGCTGCAGGGAACCAGTTTGCAAGGCCACTGAAAAGCCGGCCGATCCCCGTCTACCGGCGCGCACGATCCATCCGCAACCAACGCCGATAACGTCAGCTGAATGCGAGATCGAGGATGGTGTGCGGCCGCTCGCGCCACGGATTGCGGAATGGAGTGCGAACGGGTGTTACGTGAGCTTTCTGCCTCTCTCGCTCTCCCTCGAATTACAAGAAAGAGAGAGAGAAAGAGACTCTTCGATAAGATACCTGACCGTAGATAGCTGCCACTTAATACCGTATAATGGCTATCTATATGCGCGTGTGATGCGCGTGTACGACGTAAGTACTATGCTATTCAGATTCCGATGACGAGAAATTATGCCGATAGCGCGTTTACCTAATGAAGACTCTCTCTATCAATTTTCCTAAATGATTAATGTGATTAGCAGCAGCTTCAGGTTTTAACAAGTCGTTCAAATTACGATAATTTGAGCTATCGCCAACGCGTTATATTCAATATTGAGAAGGAATATTGAATATATTTAAATACATATATATATATATATATATATATATAAATAAAGTTTCGCTATAGAAAATATTAATTAATATTATCTAGCCCGGTATGTAAATGTTGATTCAGTTATTAAAACTTAATGTTAATTATTCCGTGATATATATATATAAATTCCGGTTTTATTAGTTAGTTTTAAATGCAAATGAGAGTAACCGCATGTTGACTTTCTAATTAGATATAATGTAAAAAAATTACACTTTAATAAGGAGATATAAGAGAAAATAGGCATCTCTCGAAAACTCGAACGCGTGCTTTTTTTAAATGAAATCCATCCATCTCAAGCTTATCCAAGTTCATCGAGAGCAAAGGACCCTTTTACATTCATACCGCTCACCGCCGCTATAATTCCTCTTAATGATAACAGTTAACTGACCGCAGCACATAGATATGAACGAATACATCTGTGCAAGATGATCTGCGAGTCGGGAGTGTCCATATGCTTTTTTGTTCTTTTTTCATCTAACTCAGCGAGGGGCAAGTGAAGAAAAAACAGAGAGACACTATATTACTCTTACGTCAGTGAAAATTTGGCCTGATCTATTCAAGATCTATATCTCTTTTTAAGAAACTTTTGTGTAAGAAAAATACGGAAATTATAGAAGTATTTATTTCAACGACTGGAAAATCTCAGTGCTATTCATAAGGTCGAAATATTTAATAAACAGATGTTCTTTTTTCTATTCTTTCTGTTCTTTTTAAGGACCTTATACTGGATAACTTATTTTTCATTTAAAGGGAAGAGAGTGCGGAATAAAATTGGCACCTGTGTGAATACCGTAGATAATTTTGTTGTTCACTACGTGCACTGTGTTGCATAAATGAATCGGTTTGTCGTTTTACTTTAGAACTTTTGGGTTAACCGCAAAGTAACTTTTATACGATATACATAGTTGTAGACCAGCGTATTATATCTACACATTATATTCTGCAAAGAAAAAAAAGATCTAAATTTATGTATATAATTTTTGTGCGACACAGTAAATATGTTTTCTGTTGAAATTTTAATTTCCATGCACTCGGCTGCGTGCCATTCATGTGACATTAATTATATCTATACTGTAAAATTACATATTTTCATATGCGAAAGCACATACACACACGTACACAAGCAAGCGATTTAAGAATGCAAGAGGTGGCGTGATAAACGAGCTTCGATAACTTGGTTTCCGTGTTTAACATATAGTGCTGCTTTAATTACGCGGAATTTATTAACCTATTAAAAGCAATTAGTATAGCAGCATATTCTGTAATCTAAGGAGATCGGAATCATATTCATAAAGAATAATTGCAGAAGACTATAAGAAGTTATATACCTAAAACTAATTACTATTACTAAACAGGAGAATATAAATTGCACTCATGAATGTGCATGCGACTCTGTCAGTATTAGTAGCTATTTGTAAAACAGACTAAAGTTAATCATCGTGAGAAAGCTTTGGAATATTTTTAAATATTTATGAAAAAAGATAACGCATTTCTTACGAAATTATATACACCATAATTGCAAAGATCAATGAACGAAGAAGGAATGCGAAGAAATCTAGAATATTAATAATAATAAATTTTAATATATGAACATAAATCATAATATCTATAATTTATGGTAATATTGAATATATATTTAAAGAAAGGAAACAAAAATTCCTATATTTTATATTTATAGTTTTCTCGGTCAATTGATATAAAATGCATTCACGAGAAGCGATATAAAAAGAAAGAAAGAAATTGGAGCACGACTAAATTGCATAAAATATATCTTCCCAATTTTGCGTGACTTCTTCCCTGCGGGATATTCGACACCCTTCTATGGCTTTTTAAGCCGAAGCCTATAGGGGTTCTATTTTACCTGGGCAATTTCGGCCGGTAGCCAGGAGAGATCGAAAAGGGTCTCCGCACGAGCGCTCTAGAATTTTGCAACTTTTACATATTTTCAAACGCAAACGTTTCTCATCCGCATCACGTCGGAATTTGGAGCGCTTTCTCTTTTCGTTTAGGCCGGGAGGGATTGCAAGCTTGTCTAAAAAGGACCGGCGGCGGTCAGTCGCTCTCTAATTCTAGTGCGCTAAAGACAAACCGCATCCCTTTATTTACGTGATTTCCTTCGTGACACGAACCTCTAATAATGCCGTCATCAGAAAGGACATGTTGAAAGTGTTATACTCACAATTTCGGTTTAGACGGACGAAACGTTAATATGGGTTGAAGCCTTGGTCAAAGTGTAATCTTGTAGCACAGGTTTTACCACAAATTCAAGACGGGATCATTAATGATTCCCCAGAATGAAAGTTAACTGTCACCGCACAAGGAGTGCCATTCTTAGAATCCCGCGAGTGTTTTTCAGGTGCGATGGGTCAAGGGTTAATCATTCCAGATTTCGCTTAATTAACGGAAAGACTAATGGAAGCTGAATTATCTCGCGGCCAGATGGTATCGCGCGAGGTGGTGCAAGTTTTTTAAAAGAGCCGTAAAAGTTTCACCCAAGCGAAATGCACTCCGTAAGATAACTATGTGTCCGCGTATATGACGGAACTAAATTAAATTTCCAAGTAAAACACCTTGCGCGCATCGTATATAAACGCACAGAAGGTGTTTCAATTAATTTCGCAACTATTGTATGTCATTATTTCAATGTGCAAAGTTATACAGAGATACAAATATACATATGTAGATAGATAAATTAATTTTAATTAGTCTTCTCTTTAAGAAATAATTATAAAACTATATTAAATTTGAAAAATTAAATATGCACAAACTATTGCATAAATGAAAAAATCCATTTGATCATAATATATTATATTATTCAATTGCTTAAATCCAATCTAATTTTCTCGATATCTTAGAATGAGTTTTCTTGAAATATTTCTTGAAATATATATTGATTATTTTCATTTAATCGTAACGCACTTTCTTGTGATTTAAATTAGATAATCAAGATTCATGATTCAAACTAGTTACTTTCCAGAGGGACGATGTAGAAAGGGTAGACACTCGGATAATTCATAATTTACGTGTATGTGGGTGACCGATGAGACGACGAGAGCTTGCACGTGACTACGTAACACCAGGGGAACCCTTTGTTACGACGGATTTTTAAAGTTTACGCATTATTATTATTGTATCAAAAGAGAGAAGGAATAATGAATCCGAAGTTTGATTTGATTGCCGGTCCCTACCCTCCTGTAGAAAAGTTCGACGATTCACAGGATCGTTAAAAATCATAATTTTTGGCACTATAAATTATTCTACACCAAAAAAGGTGGCGCGTATATATATACCTTTATACACAATAGCGACAACGAACTCGAAATTACGTGGCCGAGCCTTTATTTCGTCGCGAGCGTGAAGGGGTATCTATATAAGACCGACGAGACACGGCGGAAAGTACAAAGTTTTGACGTCACCCTATAAATCAACCAACACACTCGCTCGCTCAAGACGTTGCACGAACACATCCCGGGTTGAAGTTTTGCTCACCGTATGTCTCCTCCGCTCTCTCAACGCAGACAACTTGTACAAGGTGAGTCAAAAATTTCGGCAGCGTCTCGTGAGCACATCTTAAATCTCGCGCGCACACATCGAAAAATCAAAATTCATCACATTTAAAGCGTATGAAAAATGAAATGATAAAAATACACCGAGTAAACATAAATTTTTTTCAACTCAGTCATTTCTCGGACAGTATAAGACGCGCGTAATTAACTACATCTCTCGCGGAGATAATTTACGATGCTACGAGAGAATTGAGGAGAGCGTCGAGTTGAGAGATGACACGCGTAGATATATACGAATTTAAATCGGACGAGAGATGGCGAGAGCGCGCGGAGATGAACTATATGGCACGTATACAGGGAAAACGTCGGAATGTCAAAATAAACAGCGGCGCAGGAGTAGCGGACCCCGTCTACTGAAAAATTTTGGCGTCGTCGCGCCCGACGCTCTGTCGGCGCAACTTTGAAATTATCTCGAGGTAATTTATATTACGGTCGCGAGCCGAGAAAATGCACGACGTTCCCTTGAATTAAAATCGTCGCGGCGCGATAACGAAACGGAATTAATGAAAAACTTTCAGATTGAAAAATGAAAGTTAAAGCAACATTACTTATTTCATTTATCGTTGTCAAATAATCATTTCTTTGCGTTGTCAAACAAAAATATAAATAATATTTAATATTAGAGGTCATGTTTTCTTACATAGAACAAAATAGAGGAATGCGATAAAGTTGGCGACAAAAGAAAATAAGGAAAAACTGTAAAGTTTGTGCAAATTACGTCTGATTACATGAGATTTGCACATTACAGAAGATAACGCTACAATTGTAGCGCTCGTTGTATAGATATCGCGGAATATATTTATGTTAATCTATTATATAAGGAAAAAGTACACATTTTCGTCTACATATATGCGCATTTCTCTCCCCCATCCTTCCCCTATACGATAAGATAAAAATAAAAGTGCATAAATATTACGCAATTAGAAAATAAGCTTATTTATCACGAATCTTAATCATATGTAGATCTCATGCATCCGCATAGAAAACATAATCAGTTTACTTTAAAATTACATCGTCGTACATCTTTGTAAGTGTGTAATTACTGACGGAATAGTCGGCTATTAATAAAAGCCCCGCGATTATCATATCTAGAAGATAAAAGCTATCGTGTTCAGTATATATTTACATAACATACTAATAATAAAACAGATAATAATCCTTAAGGTTCGCCAGTAATAATTAATAAAATCTTTCCTCAATGGTAAAAGTCGATCAAACTAACAATCATTTATTATAAATAATTAGTTAAAATACAACGTTTCGGCTGTCATTGCAGCCCTTTTCAACTAAATCTATAAAAAGTTAGATAAAAATAATTATAATTTTAATATACATTTCATCGCAACAAATAATTATACAATAATTAAAACAATGGTGAATATTGTCAGTGGTATATGCAGTGAATTTGATTTACTGTATTAATTTATTATGCATTTACGTTTGGTATGTAACATATTTTTGTATATGAATTTATAATTATTCGTTGCGATAAAATGTATTAAAATTATAATTATTTTTATGTAACTTTTTATAGATTTACTTGAAAAGGGCTGCAATGACAGCCAAAACGTTGTATTTTAACTAATTATTTATAATAAATGATTGCCAGTTTAGTCGACTTTTACCACTGAGGAAAGATTTATACTAATAATAAGCTCGTAAAAAATGTTTTTTCGTACACAGAAGTACATTGTTCTCGAATAACCTACTTTGTAGCAATCGAACGAAAAAAAAGTCGTTCGCACATTTCAAAGATAGAGGTAGAGATAAAATGTATTCTTGTATAGAATATTCGGACCACATCTGGACCAATGAACAGCCTACGATGCGAAAGATATCTTGAAAGGTGAAAATCGCAGCTGCTCGCTTAGCTCTCTCTCTCTCTCTCTCTCTCTCGCATGCTCGATGTCTCTCGAACGCAAAATCAAACGGCAGGCAAAGAAAAGCAAAGAGAGAAAGAAAGGGAAAAAAGGGAGAGACGCCATCGAGTGGGGTGCCATCCTAAGAGGGTGAGATCGAGGATTCGGCCGGAGAGGGGCCGGACACGGTATTGGATGCTCCCGGGGAAACTCGCGGTAGGGGTAGTTTGACAAGTTGACAAGAGCACAAAGGCCGTGGCAGACACCCTCGAGCGAGCGGGCAAGAAGGGAAGGGGCGCAAACGGAGGGTGGGAAACGATGGGGTAGGGAGCGTCGCGACGCTCAGCGACGGAGGATCGCCGGATGGCGGAGAACCTGAAAGCCCCGGTAGATCCGAACAAAGGGTGGCTCACCCCACCGGAGTTTGGGTGAACGGAGATACCGATTTACTCGGAATCGCGAAGATGCACGCATATACGTGTACGTGTGTGTATATGAGCCCTCGCGTGGGCGAGTTTGGGTCGGTTCGATCTGATAGATATCGCCGCGGGCCTAATATCGAAAGTTAAGGGCGAAGCTGAAGCTCGTGCTTAATTAAATCGGAAGACCGTGGGAGATAATCGTTGTTCCCCTGAGCGGCTAAGGTCAATATATGGTACCGAGCAATTTGATTCTCTCGCATGGCAATTGAAAATAAATGGAAATTTAAACGTCGGCCATCTCTTGCAATTGTCGGTAAATAATATACGAAGCGTTGACCAACCAATGGAGAAAATATTTCCCAGGATTATTATTATCTGTCCTCAAAGTTAAAAGTCGACCAAACTGGCAATCATTTATTATAAATAATTAGTTAAATACAACGTTTCGGCTGTCATTGCAGCCTTCTTCAAGTAAATCTATAAAAAGTTACATAAAAATAATTATAATTTTAATACATTTCATCGCAACGAATAATTATACATTCATATACAAAAATATGCTACATACCAAACGTAAATGCATAATAAATTAATACAGTAAATCAAATTCACTGCATACCACCGACAATATTCATCATTGTTTTGATGAACAATGTAGAACTGACAGAAGTAAGCAAGAAATAAATAGATGTTAACAGTTAGCAAGAATCTTAGTCACTACGCGTTAAGAAAATCGAGACAAAACTAATGTGTCTTTCGCAATCTAAAACCTCATAACAAAGTCAAATAAATAAATAAATAGGTAAAAAATAAAAATAATTTAAATAGCGTCAAGAACACGATATTTTTGTATATGAATGTATAATTATTTGTTGCGATGAAATGTATTAAAATTATAATTATTTTATGTAACTTTTTATAGATTTACTTGAAAAGGGCTGCAATGACAGCCGAAACGTTGTATTTTAACTAATTATTTATAATAAATGATTGCCAGTTTGGTCGACTTTTAACTTTGAGGAGAGATTTTTATTAATTATTACTGGCGAACCTTAAAGATTATTATCTGATTCATTGTCCCTATAATTCTATATATAATCAAATTGAACGATATTTTTTCAATATCCTTTTTTTTTTTTTTTTTTTAAATATAACATGCAAATATATACAAAACTCATCATATATCTTCGACGCGATCCCATAGAATTTCATCCCCCTCGCCGCGGAAGTTGAAAAAGAAACGGGCAGCGAAAAGAATACGGGTTCGCGGCCGTGAAAGCGCTGACAATTTTTCACAATGGAATGCTGTACCGCGTGCCGATAACCGTTCAAAGGGCAATAAATATCTTCGCTAACCACCTTCTATAAGGCAGCCTCCGCAAAAGCGTTCCATTCATACCGCAGTATAACGTTAGCGTGGGCACCGACTCTTCTCGTTTCCGTACCCCCTTCTCGTCACACACCGCGCGCGCTTCAGCCCACATTGATACACATATCGACTCCCTTATGGTTTACGAGCCGCCGCTGTGATTTATCGCGCTCGAAAATACCGCGCGCCGTCATTAGAAACATCATTCGTATCTCGGAGCGTCTATCATTCCGCACACCCGAAGTAATTCAATGATCCACGCGCCGCCCCTGTCCAACCCTTTCGAAGCGTCGTTAATTCGCGTCATTGATATATGCGCTTCCGCAAAAAGACCTCCTCAGAAAGAGCGGACTTGAAAAAAAGTGAGGAAAGATTTATGAAATTTTAAAAGCGTCATTATATCGGCAGTACGATTTCTAAGAATAATATATATTGCACACTATATATTGCATTTTAATTAAATCAATGAAAATGTACAGAAAGATTAATATATATAAAATTTTATATTCGCCAGATTTTAATTTAAACATCAGCTGTGAGTTTCCACTTTGTTACCATTTGCTTTAATAGCTTATAATTTAATCGCGCATACATTTTAATTATTATCATTAATTATATCGACAAGAGAAATCGTTATTTTAATTAGAAACATTTATCTCAAATAGAAATATTTTGATTTAGTTTTTTTAATTAGAACAGTATAATGTTCACGATTTCTTTTAAAATTAAAAATAGCATTATTGCGTACTTGCGGAATATTATGAGATATCTGATGAACAATTTTAAGTGAAAGAGCAATAAGAATAGTGCAATCGTTTCAGACCATACGTATGATACCGTTCGTTCGTACGGGATTACCCCTTTTGCTTTCCGCTCTTCTTCACGCTTGTACCTTCAAGCTTCTCTTTCACACTACATGTCGCTAACCTCATACCTGCGCAGCCACTAAATCAGAAACGCAGCGAAGCGTCTTTCGTTCCCGTCGCGTCGCGGTGCCGCGAATCATCCCTCTATACTATATATATATATATATATATAGGGTTTTATACTTGCTATCTTGAAAAGGTAGACAGGATAAATGTACGGAGCCCGATTCAAAAAAGAAAATAACGTCCTCGCACATTTTTCAAGGCAGTCAATAAGATCTACTTGGTACAATAGTCGCGGTAAAGATAAAAGTTACGTAATCAAAATTAAAAATATGCACAATTGACATTTTATGAGACTGATATTAATTGACTCTAGAAATGATGAATAAAAAATTATATATTTCTATTGATTTTATAATTTTTTTTTTACAATAATTTTTATCGTGTGTAATTAATTCTCATATATGTAAGAATTAATTACACACGATAGAAAAATTATTATAAATAAATATAATTCTCATTTTTTTATCATGTACAATTAATTCTTATATGTATATGAAAATTAAAAATTCATATATACGATAGAAAAAATAAAGCAAGTATAATAAATTGTAAATTTCGTGATTAGATTTGCAAAAATTAGTATATTGTACAAAGATTAAAAAAATGTTTTTAATTTTAATAGTGAGACAAAACATTACAATTATTTTCGCATGTTACGGTAACTCGAAAAAACCCGACATCGATGGAGAGAGAGAGAGAGAGAGAGAGAAACCGATAGAAAAATAATCCTATTACCTAATTCCTTGTAATCGCGCATGAACCTTTCTTACTACAACGAAAGACGCGATTATCTTTTGATAAGATTAATCCTTTTGCTGGTGACCCTCGTCAAATCGAAGGGGGTTCCTGGCTCATTAAATATTCCTAGGGTCCCTAGGATGCCGTATCGAAATGTCTCTTATTGTTCGACGTGATTGTATAGCGTGTTACGATAATAGCCATTTAGCGACACTTGAAAACGCGCTTCTCCGCATGCATAATTTTTTCTTCTTTCTTTTATTATTTAACGTAACCGAGAGACCACCTAGATACATATTTTATCACTCGATCGCCATCGTGTTCCCCGATGCAATGATCGCGTGCGTGACGAAACGAAAAACCGGAAAGCCGGACCAGGTCAACCATTATACCGGGATGACTTTCTTATCTCTTCAGGTAACCAAGTGACCTGTCATGCTCTTACTACCGAGTTACCTGTGCGTTCATCCCACCAATGAAATCGGTTTCCGGATCCGAGTTTTCAAGATCTTAATCCGTGATAATACGGGGGTGTCATTTAGTCGTACATTTATTTTCACATTCTGAAGTTAGAAATTAAGACCGCCTAATATATAGTTGTATAGAATAATTATATGACAACTTCTTCAAGAGAAAAAAAAAAGAAAGTAAAAGTCGAGAGATTGAAGATTGGTGAATTGAGACCTCTTCAGAGACGACCCAATTAAAATTGTATTTATACATTTTATGTGTGTCATGTAATACAGAAAATATAAAATTATAAAGTAGAATGATAGATCGTCCAATAAAGAGGCTTTCAAAATATAGGAGCAATTGACTACATCGATCGATTGACAAACAGCTCGTTGAACGATCGATCTTTCATTCGTCGAGGAAAGATAGAAGCGCATCGAGCGGTCAAGTGGAATATCATTTCGCGATACTGGTTTCCTTCATCGTTAATTCGCGCGAAGAGCAGACACACGTACCTTTCTCCACATGATTCGTCCTCGGGTGGAATTTCTCGCCGGCTAATATCGTCGATTCCTACGCACTACAACACCATCGTCTCTCTCGGCGCAAACTCCCGCGCTTAGCTATCGGTTAATTAACATTAGCAGGTGACAGACAGCATTTTTTTTTGCGCACCGGACGTGTCGTCGTCGTAGAAGCCGTTCCTTATCAGCGACGCGACACACGCGTCTTGAACCGCGAAAAACCGACAGACGGCTGTCGGCAGGCTGTGCAAACGGTGCCAATTAAGTGTACACAGGTGTCAATTTGTCGACGACTTTACCTCGCGTCACGCTTTCGGATCGCGATCGAGGAATCTCCCGGCGGGAACGGAGCAATTTTCGCGCCCGCGTTTAAACGATATCGCGCGCATCGCGATGCACAACCTCGGTAATGACGACGGTAATTAGTCCCGCGCTGAACACGCTGATGCAACGGATCGCGTTCTGGAACGCGCTTGGCTATTTCGACCGAAATCTAGGAAGTGCTCCAACTTGTAATAAACCTCCTCTATCCTAGGCGATCTTTGTACGACGCTAAATTAAAGCGAGCAGTTCCAAGGAAGGCCAAGTTGCGACTGACTGACTGATGACTTTGTTGATCAGATGAAGCAGCTCGCTGGATAAGAAGCGGCATTCCTGCTCGAGTGACTCTTTACGGGATTATCATTTGTAATGACGATCTCTTTGCCCTCCGCGATCTGTGTATGTATAATCGAACAGCTGTGTCTTTGAAGATAGAGAGTTGTAATTCTCCACAAGTTTCCTCGACGATCTCGAATGCGGATCGTATCGCGCGCGTGAACTTGTGACACTCGGGCGGAGATTTAACTGTACCTCGACGTTACACGTGCGATGTAATGCGTCCTGACCACGAGGCACTCGTACGTAAAGTTTGGCACATTCACCTCGTCCATGTAAATAAAAAAAAAAAAACGGTGTCCACGATTCACGAAATCAACGATTATCCATCCTTCGATAACGATTAGAACATTGTTTGATGTACTTTCACCGTGTTGACTAGCGAAGCCTCCTTCGCACTCCCGATCGACTACGAGCTGACAGTAGGCTGTCCGTCCCGAATAATTGCACACACGATGCAACCCGCGCGAGTCGGCGTGTGTCAGAGCTCTTCTGACTCGGCAGAAGCACAGACAGAAACGAAACTACACAACGTGACTAACGGCGAACACAGAAAAGCGAACGTGGTCGTGTGCGTGTTCACGTGCGTGCGTGCGTGCGTGCGTGCCGGGGGGAGGGGGGACGAGAATGGAGGAACCGACAAAGAGAGAGAGAGAGAGTGAAAAAAATCAAGAGAGGGATAGAAAGAGCGAACGTCGGGATATATCCACCACGCGCTAACCAATTCCGCGAGCGTCGCGCGCGTGCGTGTGAGCGCGCACGCACACACACACACCAACGAGGGTGAATGTGTGCAGAGAAGCGTATCCTCCCGTCGAGCCGTGGAACGGACGAGAGCGTCGAGCTGTCAGCGCACCCCACCCCGAAATCCCCTTTGAAACCAACCCCTCCCATCTCTCGTGACGAACTCTTCTCCTTCCCCCTCTCTCTGTCTCGCTCCCTTCTGTCGCACAAGCTCTCTTTCCCTCGACTAGTCGTTCCTCCATCCCTCTTCTCTTCGGACAACCCCCCGGCTCGTCTCAACGTCGAAAGCGCCGCGCGTACGAGAGTACAAGTAACAGGGAAAAACTCTCTGTATATCGACGCAAGGGGATGAAACTGATCGCTATAACAAAATTGAAGATTTATAATTTTCTAGATAATTTTCTTTTTTAGTTTCTTCTGTTAGAATGAAATGTTTATCCTTGACTAACACGCGTGACACGGTGGTATATCTCGAACGGGATTTCGGAAGGAAAGAGGATGAAGGAAGAGATGTGCAAAGAGGAAATACGAGAACCGCCGGTACGAACCGCCGGAAAGGCAACTCGATCCCTTTCATTTCCACTGACGCGGACGAATCATAATTCTTATTCGCCTCCGGCTCGAAATCATCCCCTCCTTCGATGCTCCTTCCGGTATTTCACCGCGGCCTCGGCTTTGCCCATTTCCTTTCTGACCACCCCACTTTTCGCATCGGAGCGTGAACACCCACCCTTCCCGAGCGAGAACACACGCTCTGTAGAAGAAGAGAAAGAGAGATCTCGATGCATAAAGTCAAGCGTGTTGCAAAATATGAATATTTTTATCGCACGTGTAATGTCGCATCGTTTAAAAATATTAACATATTTTTGTATCACTTTATCGCGCATTTTATCCCTACTTTTTCTCATTTCGCTTTCATTCATTCCAGTATCGAGTCTGAAATCAAGTCTCGGCTCCTTCAGGCGCAAGAATGTCAGCCGGCAATCGAAGGGCCGGCTCGCAACAGCAGGCCAGTTAGGGACAGGTAACGTGAAAGGCGTTTGTATATGGCTCGTATGGATGAAGAAGTATATGTACGGGTCGACATTAGGATCGAGGGTTTGTCGCTGACGACCAATATGAGGGACTGCCATTGTTCGACACCCGGAGACTGACCTTTCGCTAAGCGAGGAACGAAGAGTGCGATTTCGCTAACATGGCCTCGTGACTTTCATTATTACATGAAAGACACACCTACATTTTCCCAAACCGACAATCATCCCTCACATATGATTTTATCAATCTCGATTGCGACTTCGAAAGCTACATACATATATAATTTTAATGAAAATTAATATTAATTAAATGAAAGTCTGAATTTTCTAATATTTCAAATTTAATCTACAAAGAGATTTGATATACTCGAACGTATAAATGAGATATCAAGTCGACTAATTGTATACCAAAGATAATTATCATTTCAATGCGACAAAATGAAGCATTGCGTTTCATATTTCATTTCCAACGCACACATCTACTAATAGAAATCTCCGTTGACCCGTTCCCAGATTCGTCCGAGATCCTAGGAGGGTGGAAATTTTTTTCAAAGAAAATGGAGTTGGCCTGCGTCCGAGCGAAGAGGCGACGTGATGACTTTATCCAATCGACTCGATTTCTCATCCGCATTCGTTCTCTACCCGCAGGCTGACCCGCAGTCCCAGGGAGGGAAAGAGAAGCGCCCATGACTTATGGTCGCCATTACGGTACCGATAATTATATGCTGCTCTCCGTAGCCGCTCCCTCCTGTACGAAAGGAACGAGAGGTATATGTATATGGATAGATGATATCCTGCCTGCCCGACGAACTTCGAACAGCCGACCTCTAACGTAACCGCACACGCACATCAACCATACGCTCCTCCTGGCTCATCGATCGACCCGATCGATACGTTCCGGTATTTCAGAAGAGTTGGAAAGTAATTGCCTTGATATATAGGGTCGATCGTTAATATGTGCAATCTGTTCTGTTGCCACATGTGCGCTGGCGCGAGTGTCTAGAGAATCCTCCGCGTTCTATATTATTATAATCGATTTTGTTAACGATGATTAATGCCGTAAATAATTTGCGGAAGAGTCGGGCCCGCGTTAAACTGTTTTTACAAATCGTTGTGGAAATATTATACATCGCAGATATTCAAGTTTAACGAATCGGAACGGATTTTAATACGTTAATGCAATGCAGCGTTAATAAATTACGAGGGATGATGAAGATATTTTTATTTTCGAAAATTAATTTATTGTATACATATTAATTAATTTATTATTATATATTTTATTTTCGAGCAATCAAATCGAAAAGGAAAAGATTCCTAGCGCGAAAGCATGCGAAGCAAGCAGAAACACCCTCAATCGTGCGGAAATGGTGGTCGTACATATCGAAGAAAGGACTTGGTGGAGAATCTCCTTACGACTCCCTACGGCCCACTTATTACGCTGATTCTCTTACGGAGGGCACAATCATCTAATGTATCTCGTAATGATCGTTACCGTATCAAATCGAGTCAATTAATAATGGATAGAGTACGCTCTAGAGATCTCTTGGACATTGTTCAAATTGTTGGACCTTACATATGGCGATTAAAAAGGCATTCTGCCAATCGTCTCGCGTTTAATATTCGTGGGAACGCATCGGACAAGAAGATGCTTTATTTTTTAAACGATTATCAGTGATATTATCTTACATAACGTACGTAATTTTTCACATTACATAACAAATAGATAATGTAGCTTCAGTTTTCTAGAAATCGTGCCCTCCCCAGATTTATCAATCCTCTCACCCGCTATATATTCATAGAGATAATTCGATTTTCTATACTTGTAATAATAATCTTATCACAGAAAAATGATTGATAAAAAAAAAATATACAAAAATCTTGTTCAACAGATCGCATCTCGTTAACGGAAGCACAATTGTCCGATTATGTTTCGGTCTAGAATTGAGATCGCGTAACTTATTGAGACATCGCGGTGTGTGTTTAATGCGCCGTTACGTCACGCTTCGTGACTTTTATAGTAACAAATCGGGACAGCATTGTGCCCGTGCATGAGTTTCCACCACGATATTACGGCCCACATGCGCGCGTGCGAATTAGCATAACCAACAAGCTCAACACGGCGCCCCGCGCGCAGGATGCAGACGCGCCGAACACAGAACGTTGTTAGCTACATGTGTAAAGTTAAAGGGAGGAAGGGAGGGACGCGAGTGAGCGCGCGCGCGCGAGAAGAGGAACGGCGGCGAATTCATGAGAACACACCAGGTGTATTCCACCAGTTCTCTCTTGATCTTCCGAGTTACGTACGTTCTGACACGTATTCTTCTATGTATATAAACCCCGTATTCTTTGCTCATAAATTATTTTCACGCACACTTTTTTTTTTTTTCATTTCCTCCGATCTATTGATATATGATTTTCTCATACATTTTATTTTCAACCTACATATTATATTTTTTTTAATTAATAAGATTGCTCGAACTTGTTCTCATACAGAATTAAGTATATTCATAAATATTTATACATGTTAATATACAGGGTGTATCTAAATAAGTAAAATTGAGAGGGGTTTCTTGTACAAACATATATTAAAATTAATAAATAGGAGTTGTTAGTTTCATTCCCTCGTAACGATGCAGGAAGATCAAAACAATATTAATAAATATCCTTTTTATTAGTGAAAAATATCTACCAAGTTTTATTTTTTAATTTGTTTGATTTTTACCTCTTTCTTTAGAAAAGCGTAACTCCTCAGGGAGAGATATAAAAGTATATGTTTATTTATATTAAACCCCCCCTTAATTTTTGACAAGGAATCATCTAAAATTTTTCGCACTTATTTAGATACACTCTGTATATTTATTTGCGTGATAAAGTTATAAATTAAAGTTTTACAAAAAAATTAAGTAAAATAAAATGACACTTTAAAATAGAATAGCCTTTTGCTGATTTGCACAGAGTTTGTTCTGCCATTATGAAATCGATCATGAATGTAATAAAAGAACAATGACATATATTTTCGACATCATTACTTATGCAACATTATTAATCAAATAATAAGATGCAATTTAATTCGACCAAAAACTGGCTATTCATTTATTGAAAATAAGTACACACTACGTTTCGACCCACATTGTGGTCCTTTTCAAGTGTGTTAAAATAAATCTTCAGATTAATATGTTTTACGTGCGATGGTAATATATCATTTCTCCAACACCGAATAAGAAAGATTAGTTGTTGCTTAGCTATTCCAATTTTCTTGTTAATGTTTTTGGTCGAATTAAATTGCATCTTATTATTTGTTAAAATTTTATCACTGGCAATCAACAATTAATTATGAAAATTAATAATCAAGTTGGAGAACCGAGCGAGCTTTCTCCTGGACTAGAGCACCAGATAGAGAGACACAATATAAAGAAAGTTCTTTTTTCACTTTGGTCGAGATATTACGTAACCAGAGTCGCGCATTCCCTTTATTGTTTACGAACGTGAGCTTCTTAAATTCGTGTTATTTTCGTCCGGTGTCGCAAGATGAATGGCATGCGGGTTTTCTGGCAACAACGACGCGCGTCCGACAAGTAGGAAGTGGAGTAGAGAAATCGAGGAAGGAGACGAGCGAAGCGCGTCGGGGAAGCAAGGATACGAGAGAGGGATGAGAGAAAAGAAAGAGAGAGGGTTCATTCTTCCCGCGTCTTATAGTTCCCGAGAAGAAGTTGGAAGTTGTTCTTCTCGAGAAAAGAAGCGTTCGTTCACGAGAAACGCCACATCTCGCCCCCGTATGTTACCCCACCACCCTGCTTTTGTTCTTCGCGTTGTCACCTCTCCTTTTTTCCGAGAGACGTGCGACGCCTTCGGGGCGCCATGCCTTGTTATCCTCATGATATATGGCGCGCTAATTGCACTAGCGACGAACCAGCGATCGTGTCTTACAACGAAATCGATCACCCAATTGTTCGCGCACAGTTGCCACCCCACAATTGGCTCGAGAGATCGATTTTCCTAAAAAGCATCCGATCATTTTGCTTTCTCTTTGGAACTTATATCCATATAATGCGGATGAAAATATCTCGTTACGCAAAAATGGGCAACATTTTTTTTTTTTTTTCAGTTGGCGAAACGCGTTGCCTTCTATAAATTGTCTGGAATGTTGACATCCTCCGCCGCTATGGTTTTGGTTTTGCGTCCGGCAACGAGATCCCCCTCTGTTGGCCCTACTTCCTTAGTCCGTCCGTCGGCATTCGTGATTTATCGCAACGGAAAATAGGAGAAATAACAAGGGACGTTGGCTGCGCGTTATACGCCTCGCTCTATATAAGCCCGGAATAAAAATGTACTTTGGACCCCGCAAACCTGCTATAACCAGGCGGTTTTTGAGTCGCGAACGACGAGTGTGTATCGAGTATTTGTTGAAAATCATTTTTCACTATAGTAAATAATCAGCTCTTTAACTTTAACTTTCCACATTTTTTTCGCTCACTTTCTCACTCTTCGACGAATTATGCGAAAACTTGAAATTATAAATTGTTAAAAAAATAATCACACGTACATAGAACGACTGAACTTTTCAAGCACCGATATCTTGTTCGTTAATTAATAAATGTGCGGCCTCGCGAGATCTCCTCTCTCGTTCTTCCTCTATCGACCTTGGAACAATGCGGAAGTGTGGAATGGGAGAAAGAGCGAGGTCGGGAGATCGCTGGAGGCTCGTTCTTCTCGTATTAACTTTGTCTTTTATACGCTAGTTTGTCCGAGGAAAATCAGAGAAAGTTTGCGTCATTGTAGACTAGCGTAACAATAGAAAAAAAGTTAAAAAATTTTATGAGAGTAGCATTGTTGCATCACCGGTAGGTTATCCCTCGCCTACCTTCTTTCTCAGCTAACTGAAAGGGCCTCGCACATAATATAAAAATTTATGACTTATTGTTAGGCCGCACAGGTATACGGGTCTGTGTTTTCTTTTTCATCTCTAGCTCATTTTTTTATTTATAACGAAACATTATTCCGTTCTGTTAGCGATCCACATAATAATTTATATATTTGTCGAGTCACCACATCGTATCATCTCTACAAATTTTACTTACTGTACTCAATAATTGTTATATAAAAAAAAACAATAAAAAGACTACTTCGGAAGAAGATAGGAATACCTTTTGATGATTTAAGCAAGGGTTTGTGTTTTCTTTTTCATCTCTAGCTCATTTTTTTATTTATAACGAAACATTATTCCGTTCTGTTAGCGATCCACATAATAATTTATATATTTGCCGAGTCACCACATCGCATCATCTCTACAAATTTTACTTACTTGTACTCAATAATTGTTATATAAAAAAGAAAACAATAAGAAGACCACTTCTTCGGAAGAAGATAGGGATACCTTTTGACGATTCAAGCAACGAGGCCGCACAGGGTCTGTGTTTTCTTTTTCATCTCTAGCTCATTTTTTTATTTATAACGAAACATTATTCCGTTCTGTTAGTGATCCACATAATAATTTATATATTTGTCGAGTCACCACATCGCATCATCTCTACAAATTTTACTTACTTGTACTCCATAATTGTTATATAAAAAAAAAACAATAAAAAGACCACTTCTTCGGAAGAAGATAGGGATACCTTTTGACGATTCAAGCAACGAGAATCAACACGTTATCCTAGTCTTACCGTCCGTCATCAAGAAAGTAAATCGCACTTATTAATGACAGAGTCATGAGAACAGTCGCACATGCGGAATAGTTTGCGTGCTCGCGGTAATCAGTATAATGATCAGTGGTCGAATTGACGTATCGCCGAGATAATATATATGACGGCATATGGCGGCAGATGCATTGCGCAGCGTGACGCGCTCTAACGCGTCATTGATAGCCCTCCGCTTCTCTCCCCTCCCCCTCGCCTCACCCTCCCTCCCCCTTCCCGTTCCTCCCGTCACTCTGCCACCCTCCATCAAATTTTCCTATCACCCCAGACTACTCCCTTCATTTCCTGCCCCGACGAGCCCCCTTTCCCCTGCTTCGCCCCTCGTTCTGACTGCCTCATCCTCATCCTCCCCTCTATGGTGGAACGGAAGGGACGTAATACGAGCGAGGGGGACCCACGGCCAACCAGCGTCGTTCGCTTTCAGGGATAAGAATTCTATCTGTGCGGTATCCAAGCCCTTTTTCGACGCCGATGTTCGGTGAAAAAGAAAAGAAAGTAACGCGGTGAGAAATATCGCAATGTCGACAGTTGAAATTATTATAGAGAATAAACATAAGGTGCGCTACGTTGTACGATGTTTTTCTTTCATGAATTTCACCAAAATTGCATAAAACTTATGTATGATTTTGCAACGAAGTAAATACAGTTTCATTTCATATTCGAATTTTAATAATTCCTTGAAATTAATGTTTCGTCTTCTTATGACTTTAATCAAAATTATCTCACTTTGTAATGCATTATTTAGAGGTCGTGTCACGTCAAATCGGCCTGTACTGAAATAAATCCAACTTGTAAGGTACCAAAATTCAGCTTAAAGCTTCTAATTTTTAATGTCATCTGGCGATTGTGAAAAATTTCAAGCGATCATGATTTTATTTTAGTCGTATGCAAAATAGTTTTTTCTTACTTAATGTTCACTATTTTTACAGATGAAGTACAAAACCATTTTCAATATAATTTTATTCGCTGAACTCAAATCTGAAGTAAAAAACCAAACTATTTTTCAAAAATTTACATTAATTTTCTTTCGCAAAGTAATTCATGAAAATCTTATCCAAAAGTATTTCAGTAAACAATGTCAAGTCTCTATTCATACATGGCATGAATCCGTAAAAATATATAATTTTGTTTTTCTTATTTGAAATTCGGATTCAACGTACAATAATAAAATTACATTGAAAAATGATTTTTGTATTTTATCTGCAAACAATAGTAGAGAATTGGTAGAGAGATTTAAATAAGAAAATATTTACCATTTTGTATTTAATCAACAAGATTAAGACCATTACTTGAAGTTTTTTAAAGTCACCAAACGAAAACCATAGAAGCTTTAAACTAAATTTTGGTATCTCATAATAAGTTAAATTTACTTCAATACAATTTTGGGCAATTTAGGGGTGAACTTTCCCGACGTAAAATACATTAATCAAAATATTTGTAAAAATTGGCAAATCAGCGTTTATCGCTGGTGTCGATTAGAAAATAAAAAGCTTTATCACGTAAGCTCCTGGTTCAAAGCGTTCGAGACGGAAAGAAAAAGTATCTCGGACCCCTTTTTTGTTGATAAATTTCTCACGCGCCTTTTTTGGAGAATCGTCGAGAGTCGTCGCAAGTATCTGATCGGTATGTCGATGAAATTTGTTGACGCGCCAGAAGAAAAACGGAATTGCGGCGCATTGTAGAACGTCAGAACGAAATGGCCAGGCGACCACCAGCGGCAGAAACGGGTTATAAGAAACCGGATAAATTGCGGTTAACACCGGAATCTGTGTTTTTACATGGACCGCACACTTACATCGAGCCGCCTCGAAATCTACTGCGGATCAATTACAATTAAGAGCGGTTAGCGAATTGCCAAACGTTTCGAGCACGCGGTGCAGATATATTCCGCGTCTGGAGATAAGCGACTTTCTCGGAAGGCGTAATTTCTCATCATTAATCTTCGTCGCGCGTTTTCCGACCGTGCAATGAACAACCCTGTTTATGAATTGCGTGTAATCTCAAAATGACAGGACATCGTAAAGATCCATCGATGCCCGATAACAGTATAGGTAATATTTTAGCTTCTTGAAATTTGACATGAAAAGGTTGCACACATTTTCGCCAATTTCATAAAAAAAATTGCATATTCTATTTTGTACACGTATAATTGACATTTGAGAAGCGTGACTTTGAAATGAAAATTAATCGTGTACTTATCAATATTTATCATAAATTGTATAAAAATTAGAGAACTCTCATTTATCTGACTTAATATATTGTAAAACGATGATGTTTGTACAGATGCAAAAAATTGTGATAATTAAGATAACTCTTTCTGTCGATCGGTTGTGTTCCACGTGCTTCGTCAACGCGAATTCTAATGAATAAGCAGAAAATGAATAACGAATTTTGGCAGGATCATTGATCGGGGTCGTTCCGAGTTTTGTAATGCGACACTCGAAATGCGCTTCGATTAATTTAACGTCACATAATCTTTCGCGATTTATTATAACTCGCTCCGTACTTGTAAAACACACATTAATTATTCATAAGAAATGAATGCCCCTTAATTCATTCACTTGTATTCTCAAATTTCAAACGACCGAATGTGATAGAGTAGCTGCATTTTGCATCGAATAATTAATATTGTATTCTCCAAGACAGATGACGCTTATATAAATCGCACTCTCCATGAAATCTCACTCGAACCCAATTCCATCAATATGCACCGTACGAACTTGTACTTTAGTACTTGTGAAGGATGAAGAAGCACGCATGATAGATCGTTAATCTCGAGCAATTGAATCGAAAGGTGAATGAAAAAAACATTCGACTATTCCGCTCACCTCCGTCGCTTCTTTTTCCGTCGCCTCCGTCGGCGAGGTCGCCTCCTAGGTTCCCCCCTGTTCAAGGGGGTAGTTGCTCTCCCCTGTAGTTTCAGGGCCGTTGCTGCTACGCTAAACTCGACTTCTTCCCCTGTTTCGCCTCTTCCCTGCACCGGGGGCCTTGTCTCCGCCCCGGCGCTGGGCCCCGTCGTGGCTGGAACTTCCCTTCGCGCACCACCTTCTCGGGAGTCCTTGTCCACGAAGAGCGTACGAATTCGCCGACAGTCACCGAGCCAGGTACGACGGGAAACTGCGTGGGATCGGAAAAACCCAACACCGTCGACGAACCATGTGTCCTTCGGACAGACTCACTGTCTATCGGATAGAGGAACCATGTGAGTCCATTCACCATCACCCTGTTCTCACTTTGCCCTCGCGAGGATCTTCGCGAACGGTTCTACGCGAACTCGAAGAGACAGAAGTCGCGCACGAGTTTTCTCTCGGTCCACACTCGGTTCACCGGTGATTCTTCGACGACGAGTCTTGGATTGTCTTACAAGGAGATTCTGCGAAGTGATCAGCTGACGGAGCTGCGCGTGCTGATGAAGAACGATAAAAAATAAGCGAGCGATCGGTTTAGCGCAACATGAAGCGGATCAGATCATCCAAAATTATCCACGCACCTTTCTACTCGGATGAAATCGCCGACGAAGATCTGGATTGCTCCGACTTGAACTTTTTCAGGATAGCAAGAGCAGCGCGAGATCGACTGTCTTCGACGAGCTGCGATTTAACATTGATCAACAAGATCTACCAATGTTCGAAATCTGCCAATGCAAAACGCAGTTCTAGAACGAGATTTTCTTGTACCAGCGCAAAGTCCAGCCTCGCTTTCCAAATCACAAGAATTTCTTTTTTTTTTTTTATTATAAATATTCCTTCTTATCAAGATATTACACACGAGAACCGACGATGAAGCGGTTGAAAATGTTTCTCTTTACAAGGAGCTTCTCGCGACAGAGCTTCTCTCCAGCCTCAAACGACGTTCTCGTTAACATACACAGCTTCAGCGCGAGCTAAAGCTCTGTATATGATCCCGGAAGTGACTGTTTCCTTCGGAAGATAATACCGGAGAGCCAAAAATAAAACGCCGATCCTTCAGGATTTGTTAACTGGAACTCGCCGATCGTCCAAGAGTTTCCTCGGACTCGAACTCGCCGTCGCACTCGAGGGCGTACCGCACGTGTACTCGCGTCTCGTCGCACGAGAAGAAGAACCCGTAGTGATCCCGAGCGGTATCATTCGTCACCGGACGAATTCCGTACGACCCAACATCCCGTCGTCCAGGAACGGCGGTCCTCGCGGTCGGCGCTCGGTGCGTGTCAGCCAGCGTCGGGACGGTGACTCTGCGCTCGCCGATACCCATGGAAAGCCGCGGACGGTGCCGCGGACGGTGATGTATATCTTAAGCGAGAGATGCGACGACTCTGATCCGCGAATTCCGCCCGCTCGGTTTCGCAGCCTCCGAACCGGAGCGCCGCGACGCGAGGCGCCCTGTGCACATGCGTTAAGCTTCACTCCCCCGACCCCCTCGGCGTATCCTTCTCTCTCTCTCTCTCTCTCTCTTCTATATACTTCCCTTCTCTCTTCGTCCCTCTTGTCCGCTCTCGCTTTTCTCTTGACGCCCCGTGATCCGCCACGATGGTGGTTGTGTACAGCGACCGAGAAAAGAGAGAGAGAGAGAGAGAGAGTGCCGTCTTCGGGGAGAAACGGGAAGACTCGAGGGGCACCACGGGACACTCTCGAGAGGCGTCTATCGTATATACTCTGTTATACGCTGGCTCCTTTCTGCGTCAACAAGGACGGCGCGTTCCCAATCGGCGTTCTTTGTTGCCGATTACGTCACGCCAATTTCAATAACGCGATTCTCGTAATTTGGGTTTCTGTTTCTTTTCTTTCTTTCTTTCTTTCTTTTTTTTTTTCGACGAAAGAAGAATTAAGCGACTATAATCATGCCTTAAACCATAACGTTGCGGAAATAAAACAGCTGAGGTAATTCTGGAAACTAGGATGTAATAATAGTTACGAGATGAGACGGCTTTCCTGGAGATATTGGATTACATTTGACCATTGAATTTATTGTTTAACGCACAACTGTGTCACGAATTTCTATTTCTTCCTTCGACTAATTTTAATCCCCACAAATAGGCTCAAAATAGCACCGCTGACGCTAACTAAACCACCGCGTCGTACTCGCACATCGGCATCTCCACGTGCCACTCATTCAAGCTTCTATCAACCGCCGGCGTACGCGATTCGAATTGAATGCCGAGCTTTCGAGCGCCTCGGAACGTGCGCGGCCTACAACGTGCGGAGGAATCGCCCCGCGGAGAGAAAATTGCGGAAAATCCCGAGTCCGTCCGCGCCGTAGAAAGCCGCTGACGGATTCGATCGTCAATCTTTCAGCGATCGTCGTAATCCTACATCGGACGACTACCAACCTCGACTCGCGTAAGTTGGAACGTTCGAATACCTATATCGAAAGAGAGAGAGAGAACGATGTGTTAAAGCGAAACAAACGGCTCCGATTATTATTCGTAAATTTTTTTTATCGATTATTTATCAATTTCTTTTATCGAAACAGACTCTGCTAATTGTGATATATTTATTCGGAAAGTAACTTTTAGTTTCACGAATCTCAGATTTTTAATTATTCTATTTTAATTTATTAAAATTATCCCACTAAAACATAATATATACAATTAACACGTTTTATAAATATTATAAATATTAATCATTTTCGTTTCATTCTCCGAAATATCAGCTGTTATTAGCATACCTTATTTGCATATTAATTAATAATATTAATTATTCATCAGCAAGTTTAGAATCTTATATCTGATACATCTTTACGTGTACATAATTATAAAACCAAGTAAACTATATTGCTGACGCAGAAGATTTAATGTGTCGATAATGACATGATTTATTACATATGAATAATTGCGAAATCTTTTTTTTTTTCAAAATTTGTTTTTATAAGCCGATTAAAATATACTAAATGTGATATAATGTCGATAGAAAGGTGAACTAAAATATACGATAACGTCAAAATACCCCAAATATTAAAACATTTTACCCGGAGACACTCGTAAATTATCGTGCATAAAATATATGATGCACATCTACCTACCGTGAAATAAAAGTTATATATATATATATATACATTTTTGTATCAAAATTCTTGCATTTTTAGTTGCATTTATCTAGATAAGCGAAAGCTGCAATAAGCGTAATATAAAAAAAAAAAAAGTAATAATCACATATTTATTAAGCCGGAAAGATCTTTATGCATAAATGTTCATGTAAAGGTCGAGAGGGAAGAACACAAGTTTATGACATAAATACAAGGGCGTATTTTCGGAACGCCAAGTTGCCATTGCAGGTTTAACTCGCTACGAGAGAGATTTAAGGGACACCGGGAGCGCTAATTTTCAGACAAGTGCGGTAATCGTCCTGCGGATCGCAAGAAATTAACGGGACACTAAGTTGTAGAACGCTGAGCGCGTAGGAAGGTAGGGGGATGTAGCATCGAGAAATCACAAACTGGGCAGCTAGCGAGACAGGCGAAAAGTTCGCGCGTCTCGTGGCGGGAAAAGAAAAGGAAACGAGGTGAGAAGGAGCGAAAGAGAGAGGTAGATCCAAAGAACTACGGTGAAGTAGATAAAGACGGAGGAGGCACAAACCAACGGGCAGCGGCCGTGAAACAAAGCAGGAGTTGCCGGCCGTGTAATTGAACTTTTTGGGACTTGGTATCTCCCTTTTTAAAAAGAAGCAGAAACTCCGAAGCGGGATTTTTCGCTCTTATTTATTCGAGGGATCTCTACTCTACTTATTAAACGTATCAAATATCTATGAAAGATCGACACCTTCAACAAACAAGAGCGTTGTTCCGATGAAATCTTCGACGATTACAAATGGATTCTTTGGTCAATTTGGGAACGATTTTTCCTCAGCGAAAATGTCGAAAAAGGTCATCATTTTTTACAACTTTCCAATATTTGTCATTATGTATCTTTATAACTAAGCCTCAAATTAAAATTTTATTATAGTTAGACTTTTAACTCCAAAACGTTTAGTTTTCAAAGAACCCATTTTTTTCAATCGCTTATAACTCGAAAATTATAGACTTCTCAACATTTTTGCTAAGGAAAAATCGTCTCCAAATTGGCCAGAGAATCCGCCCTTATCATTGATCCGTTAGTTACCGGACACCCTGTATATATATTTCTCCGACCGTTGCAAGTCGGGGAAAACATAATGACGCCGTCAATAGCGAAGACAATATCGTCAGCAGTGTGAGAAGCAACGAGCCGTTCATTTGTCCAGTTAGCTCGCGATTGTAGACGCATTGGGGGCTACCAGCGTACCCTCGTCTTGGGCAGTCGCGCACATCCATACACGTACACGGGGCCCCTTCTCACACAATCGGTAAACCCTTCCTTCTCCTTCTACTTCTCTTTCATAGCCCACGCAACCAGTTGTATCTCTCACGATCGTATAAGATACGCTCAGCATTCGTTCGCAAATGGTCGGGGACGGTTGCGTGAGTGTGTACCACACCAGAACTACGTGACCTAGTTTGTTGATGAAGCGCGTGATACCCGCGTGAAATAAAGACAGACAATTGTTTCGATTTGCCTGTCGCATGATTATACGTCGCCTGATGATGGACTTTATCTATCGACGTATTTTCATATTCGAGCACGAAGAAAGGGCTTTTTCTCCACATGGGAAATAGAGCATCTTGAAAAGGATTATTCCGCAAACCTCTTAAAATTCTGTGTCATGAAAAAAAAAAAAATATATGTATATTATGTACTTCACTTTGACAATAAGTATTATTAACGTTGTAAATATCATTGCAATACACTTTCTGTAAAATTGAAGTAATGAAAAAATAAAATAAAAATTAACTTTAGTATTATCACCATCGACGTATTAAATAAGGCAATAAGGGAACGGATAAAATTGTTATCGTACAGATTCTCCGTATGCTCGTTTTATATGAAATATATTCTAAAATTAAAATTCAATGCAAGCTGTATCTTTTTGGATCTGCAGACTACGTGCCAACGGGCGGCGATATCGCTTTTCCGTTTTCCAGAGCGTCGACAGTTACTTGAGAAATATTTCACGAGGATATTGCGTTTGTATGCGAGAATTACAAAGCGTAAAGATACGACGATTATTAGAAAAAAAAGTCATAATGGAAAATTATCGTGACATGGTAGAATGATGTTTCCGAAATTTCATTTCCGGGGTTTTCTTTTCCATCCGGAAATTTAGTGCGCAGCAATTACCGTTTATCTCGAGCAAGGTCACACGTTATGCCCTAACGCGATCGAATAAACCTACATGTTACGTCGTTACGTGCTCTTTATTGGAGCAGAGTACATAAAAGGAAAGAAACAAAGCGTATACAAAATAGCAAGAAATAAGCGTAACGCGCATGTACACGAATGCGTACGTTTTCCACGCGTCACCGACGTCTCGCACGAGCGTCGGGTAGATTATACTGACGCATAAGGGAGAGAATCCAGCCCTATGGTAGGAAACTCTCTGCGGGAGTAGCCCGTGGAAGCGGAGCCAGAGAAGTTTCGCTTCGAGAGCGTGACGGGGGTGGAACGAAGGGTGGCGTGGAACGAACGGAACCGAGAAACGCCGGTGAAGGAGGACGCCCGGGGGTGAAAGGGGGCGGGGGAGGAGGGTGGAAGAGAAGCGGGCTGACGACTAGGGGGGTGGGCTAAGGGGGTAGGCGAGGGGATGAGCCCAGAGTTGGAGCGATGGCAGAGTATTGATTTAGTGGGTTTCACCGTCTCCTTCTATTTGTCTCTCTCGTTCTATATCTCCAACGCGCGACTCTCCACCATCTACAGCCGCACGAAGAGCGGCGCATCGGCTCATTGTTTCGATTCGTACCATTTCTTAGCTGGCGGAGGGCACGCTCCATTTTTCGCCCAAATGAATAATCTTACTTTGGTTAAAGATATAAGCTCCCGCTAACGCGATTCTTATCATTCTACTTGAGGTTTCGTGATTCTCCTTCTCTCTTTTCGGAGCGCAATATTTTCTTTCGCCACATTCACGGAATCATTCATTATTATAATATTAAAAGGAAAGAAAGCATTCTAAGAAATATCACGATCGGTATATTCTCGTGGCGATAATCTTACATAATATTACGTGGAATTTAATCTCGAAATAATTGATAATAGCGTATTTTTCGGCGGTGTGTATCCCAGGGTCTCGCTTCTTTTTTTTTCCCACGTTAAATCTTGGTACGATAAATCACGCGGTGCAAAAGTACCGCTGAAAGTTCGGTATGCGTATATAAATTTAGAAAACAGATATTGAATAATCCGCGATCGCACGCATAGACGGGATATAGGAACGTAGAACCGGTTTTGAAAACGTTCAGGAGACATAAATCGCGATGTATCTCGATTATACACGAATATATCGAAACGTCACATTTTCACGTGAAGACGGCGTAACGCGTGTCGCGAGGCCGACAAGGTCATTTAAATGCGAAATTTCTTTGCCGAGCGGCAAATG